TTTTTTTTTTTTTTTTTTTTTGGTGGCTCTATCTTTTCTTCTTTGGCCTGATACACTACTAGAATGTAGCCATTGAGGTCATGTTTGAAATTAAACTCAGTGCCTGAGCTGAAAAAGTTTCTTTGCCTTTAGAATAATGTACACAGTTGGAGGAATATTCCTAATGAGGAACAAGAGACTACTGATCTTAGTGAGTAGTAAGCATTTACCCATTTCAGGCTGGTTTCCCAAATACGGTACATTTGTATCTGGAGAAAATTAACTTCACCCCAAGTAAAGATGTAAGGGCAACATCTAGGCTAGATGTCTGTAATGCCCTCTTCAGAGACTTGTGTCCAGCAATTGGAATGCCTGAAGCCTGTACCATTTTGATAATCTCACACCAAATTTGCAATCCATTCATTTCTTGTCTTAGTTTAAAAGTACTAGACCTAAATCCAGCTGCTAACCCCAGCCAATAACTTACAGGGATATTGATTTACAATTCAGTAACTGGTTCAGTGTGTCAACTTTGTGTGTGTGTGTGTGTGTGATGTGCCTTCAAGTCATTGCCGACTCATGACAACCCTAAGGTGACCTGTCACAGGGTTTTCTTGGCAAGATTTGTTCGGAAGGGTTTGCCATTGCCTTCCCCTGAGGCTGAGAGCAGAAGACTTGCCTAAAGTCACCCAGTGGGTTTCATGACTGACTGATCAACCCCTGTCTCCAGAGCCATATTCCAACACTTAAACCACTACACCATGCTGGCTCTATACTGCCCTTTAAATCCCTAAACAGTTTTGGACAGGTTGCTTGAAGGGGTGCCTGTACCTTTATGAAACTGCCAAGGTCCCTTGTCTTGTGACCTTAAGCAGTCCCTGAAAATTTTTGCTGATATGCTACATCACCTGCTTAGTTATGTGCAGTAATGTCTCCTAAAAGTAATGTCTCCTGACCAACTCCCAAAAACTACCTTAATAGCCAACAGCCAAAAGGAGTGAAGGAGGTGTGTTCAGCTGGCAATCATGATGCAGAAGGATGGCACTTCCAGCTCCTTCCCACCAGCATGTGAGTCTGCAATGAGGAATTGCAACAGAGGTCCAGCTTCTGATTGTTTCAGCCTCACTCACAGGTAGGAGGAAGCTGGAAATATCCTCCTGTACCCTGATCTCCAACTGAACTGACCTCCACCATTCAGTCAGCTGCTGCCTGTTAAGGGGTCAGGACAGGCATTTGTAATCACAGCAAGTTAGAATGTATGCATGTAGTACGTAGTAGGTGGGATTTTACAGTCATTCCCCCCTACTACATACTTCATTTAAGATCATGTCCTCCTACAAGATAAAAGGAATGCAGCTTCATTTATATACCGCTTCATACTGCACTATGCAGTGTCTAAGCAGTTTACAACTGTTAGCTCATTGCCCCCTGACAAAAATGGAAGATAATGTGGAGAGGCATTTACAATCACAAGAAGTTGGAATGTATGTATGTAGCATGTAGGATTTCAACCCTAGTGGGATTGCAGCCCTAGTCTCCAAAATGGACTGCTTATCCTTATTCTGAAACATTTACTGT